ATCAACGCCAAACAAAACAATTGACAGGTGTAAGTTTGATTAGAAAATTGGTTTGTATATTGAGATGCACATACAACTGACAGTGGCAGACGGGGCCATGAGAAGATATTCAGTTTGAAGGAAAGCGAAAAAAAATGATCAAGTAGAGAAATTCTACTAGGCTGATTAGGCTCTAATTATCATGTAAAATATTTGTATATTTGATAATTTTAAAATTTATAAGTGATGGGTATATATAAGTTTACAAAAGGATCTAATCTTACAAAGATAAAGAAAGTCAAATGTGTACACAAAGTAAAGTTTATATAAGGTATAATTGGATTGACTATAATTAGACTAGATTGAATAATATAATGGATTATGATGTTACGTTCGACGACCACGGATGAGCACCATTAATGATGAGCAACATTAAATTAATTTATAAAATATTAAATTATAAAGTACTAAACATATAATATAAATTAGTTAAAAATATAAATGTAATTTAATTAAAATACAATATTTATAAAATATTAGTTTTTAAGATAAATTATACTATTGATCACCTAACTATTTAAATCTTGTCAATCAAGCCACCTGCCATTAAATATTAATGGAGGAGATAATGTGACAGTTAATAAAATTTGTATAACTACACATTTAGTCCTCAATACTTACACATTCTATTAATTTGGTCATAACTTTTATTTAATTCAATAAATTTAATACTCAATCCGATGGTGACATGTTTCACTACGCGATTAGATTTTTTTTTAATATTTTTTATTTAATAAATTTTCCATCCAATCAAATGGTGCCACATGCACCAACTAATTGAATGGAAAATAAATTAAATCAATAGGTGTTGTTGGTGGGATTTTAACCTGGGACAAAAGCAGAAAAACTAAGCATCATAACCCCTAAGCTAGATCACTAAATTTATCTAATATACAAAACATAATCTATATAATTTATAATATAGTTAATGGTAATAAATGACCTTATATGCACTCAAACATGAAATAATTGAATAGTATGAAAATATAAAATATATATAAATAAATATTATAATTGATTAATAAATGAATATGTTTTATTTAAATTTTAAATTACGTTTAATGCAAAAATTAAAATAAAAGTAAATTTAATATGTTATAATTGAAATGTATCATTTTACATATTTTAAATTAATAAATTTTCTTCATTATTCTAATTTTATTGAACTTAAATGTATCATATCTTATATTTTAAAATATTATAACGTCGATTGAATTTTAATCTTATTTAACAATTCTATATTAAAATAGACTAATTCAATAAAATCAAGTTTCCCCTAAAATTTTCTTCAAATATATAATGAATACATAATAAAATATAAAATTCTTACTCTATCCGAGATATTAATAAGTCAATGCATAAGTTAAAATGTTTACTACGATAAGAACTCAACTATCAGGAAAATTTTAAGTCAACGAAACTCTTCGTTATATTTCAATTATAATATATTAAAATTATTTTTATTTTTATTTTTCATTAAAATGATTTAAAATATAAATAAAATCCATTCACATATTAATCAGTTATAATCTTTGTATATATATATATATATTATTGTATTATTTAATTATTTCATGTTGGAGTGCTTATTAGGTCATTTTTCCTTTTTTTATTGCCATTAACTATATATATATTTTGTGTTGATAAATTTGTTATTTGAATGGTGCAGCCTGGGGCGTTTGCTTCATCTCCTCACTTACTGGGTTCAAACCCCATTAGTAGTGATTTTTTATTCAATTTGTTTTCTATTCATTCAATTGGTAACACGTGACACATCCAATCACGTAGTGATACATGTCATCATCTGATTAAGAATTAAATTTATTGAATTGATTAAAAGTTAGGACTAAATTAATAGAATATGTAAGTAATGAGGACTAAATGTGTAATTATATAAATTTGATTAACTGCCATGTCATCTTCTCCGTTAATATTTAATGGTAGGTGGCTTGATTGACAAGATTTAAATAGTTAGGTGACTCGATTGATAAAATTGAAAATCGGTGGTTAAAGTAAAAGGGGTAAATAACTAGGTGGTCAATGTTATAGTTTACCCTAAAAACTAATGTTTTATAAATATTATATTTTAATTAAATTATATTTAGATTTTTAACTAATTTATAATTATACGTTTAGGACTTTATAATTTAACATTTTATAAATTAATTTAATGGTGTTCATCATTAATTGTGTTCATCCACACTCGACGAGCGTTGTAATTTTTTTAATATAATATAATCTTTATCATTGATGTTTTTAATTTTATGTATTTTCATAAAATACATATAGTTATTAAAAAATATTTTTAATAAAAATATTTTATATATTCTTATCATAACTTAAGTTGATATATTTTATATGAACCACTAATTTTATATGGTAAATTTTTTAAATGATCAATAAATTATGTTAAAATATGTTTTTTTGAACATTGAACTTTTAAAGGTTACATCATACATGCAAGGCATTAAATTTTAAATTTTATTACAAAATGGATAACAAATCTTTAACTACTATTAAAGGAGTAATGTGACATGTTAAATTAATAAAAATATCACGTTTGAATCTTCAATTGTAACTAAATTTTATTTTTATATTTTTTTAATATTTCTAAGTAATAGTTCTAAAACAATTGATTTTTAAATTCTATATATAAAACTCTTCAATTCATTTTTAAAATTGTAAAAGTATTTTTTAAAAATTATAGCTTTATGAATTTGTTAATTCCTGAAATTATTTTATAATTAATTTGTATTTAATTGTGATTATATTCTTAAAATTTCTAACTTATAATTTTTAAGATCCAATAATTTTAATTATCAAAAAATGAAATCAATTTTTTATTAAGCAATGTGATTCAATTTTTTAACTTTTGTTTAGTCATTTTAAATATAATTTTAAAATATATAATTTCAAAAATAAATTATGAAATTATTTATATTAAAAATGAATTTCTTAAATTTTTTTGGAATTATTACTTAAAAATATTGAAAAAATAAAAAATAACAATGAAGTATTTTTTTTATTAATTTAGTGTTTTTTAACAAAATCTAAATTTTTTTGTTAATTTTATAACTTTTGAGAGTTAAATGACTAAAAAGTCATTTTATCACAATTTAATAACTATTTATAATTTTTTTTTTTTTTTACTAATACACGTGGATGTGTGGAGTTCACTATAATCTCATCCTATTTTATACATTATAACGTTAAAGAATTTAAAAATCACTTAAATATATATATATATATATATATATATATATATATATCATTGGGTCCTTTTCCTCGTTCGAGAATCTCCTCCCTTCTTCCACTCTGTCCCGAAGAGTAACTAGGACAAATTCAGTCACGTTTTCATGTTCCAATTGAACACTTTCCATTTTTGATTATTCTCAAAAGAGAAGATTTTTTTTTTACCAAACATCTGCGGATCCAATCACACGATCTTATAATAAGAACAAGAGATCTTTCTCGATCAATCCCTTTGCCCCTCATTCTTCGAGAATCAGAAAGATCCTTTTCAAGTTTGAATTTATTCATTTGGAATCTGAATCGCCCCATCTATCCTCCTGAGGAGAAGTTTGGTTTCAAACCCCGGTTCGAACAGGAGAAGTACGCCATGCTAATGTGCCTTGGATGATCCACATCTCAGGGTCAGGCGTTGATGAGCACATTGAACTATCCATGTGGCTGAGAGCCCTCACAGCCCAGGCACAACGACGCAATTATCAGGGGCGCGCTCTACCACTGAGCTAATAGCCCGTCGTGCGGGCCTCCCGCTGGGGGCCCGCTATGCCAAAAGCGAGAGAAATATATATATATATATTTATATATACATATTAACTCATAACATGATGTTTGAAATGGTAATTTATTTTTAAAAATATTTTTTGATAATAACATTAAACACTATCGAACAATCCAAAAACACTTCTTAAAAACAAAATTTCACACCAATTTTTAAATAGATTGACCAAAGAAACCAAGTGTAGATAATCCTCAGCTTTGTCGCCTCAACTCAAACGACTAACATTTCACACATTAAAATTACTATTGACCCTGTCTGTAATAATATGCACAATTTGGACACTACCCCTCAATAAACCCTTCCGTTTTTCAAGTCGTGGAGTTGCATGATTAACAAGGTCTTAACTCAGTTTACATCTCCTAAACATAATTAGAGCTTTGGAGAAGATACAGCAATGTGCAAAACTACAAATTAGGATAAATTACACATTTAGTGCTTAAATTATTAATTTTGATCTGTTTTAGTATCTAAACTTTTATATTTTTCAAAATCATACCTAAAGTTTAGTTTTTGTTTCATACCTAAAGTTAAAAACTTAACGGACTAGCTGACGTGGTATAACCCTGATGGCCGAACGACCAAACTAAACGATAGACCACAGAGAATGATGAGTTGACCAGCATAGTCCAATTTCAAGCCTATCGAACAGTGGACCATGGAGATCAAAGGATGAAAAAATTCGAATAGTCCATTGTCGATTTGCAGAGATTGAAGCGTTTTCCGATAAAACGGATGCCGAAATCACTTTTAGGTGATCAGAAAAGGTACGGGCTGAAAATGTTTTGTATTCATCGACCGATGAATGTAAACGCGATGCCGGCAAACCCGTCCGTTAAGTATTTAACGGCAATGACTAAAATTAAATGTTAAGCATAATTTTGGGGGGAAATGAAAGTTTAAGTATTTAAACGAACCAAAATTGATAGTTTAGATACTAAATGTGTAGTTTACCCTATAAAATATCCATTTTGTTGCTTTCGGATCAGTTCCATTCCTTCTCCTGCTAACAAAGATGGCTTTATAAGATAACACCACAGACTACTAAAAACAGAGTGCCGATGGGTACTCTAAAGCACCTTCCATGCCATATATATATATATATGATCTTAATACACATGATTCACGGCATTGCCAACGTAATAAAGCCTTACCACAGATAACAACCATTAAGACAACCAGTCTTTTCACTTGAATACTGAAACATATATTATTATGGAGACAAAAGTATGAAGATTCAAAAGCTATGAGAAGGGAGTAAAAAGTTGGGGGGGGGGGGAATGGTACGGTCGTCCAGACGTTCTGACCATTTTAAAACTTATCTACACTTACTCCATCTCTGGAAACCTCGTACGCCTCTCTACTCCTGTTTTTCTTCATTCCGGCTGTAACATAGAGCTTTGATCCTTCACATGTGATGCTGGTTACTTTAACCCATACAAACACTTTTGTCTTCATTCCCTCTATATCAGCCAGTTTTCCTTTCTCCAGATACCCAGTCACAGCGGTGAAGAAGCGCAATTTGGATGAATCCTTATATCCCACTTCACATATTGCTGGAATAAAAACAGTGAGCTTCCCAGTCTCTTCATTGAATTCATAATTTGTGGCATCACGAGGGAAGATTCCTATCGGCAGGTTATACTCTTTTAACAGCTCCGGCAATGGCTTTTGCATTTTTCCTGTAAAAAGGCAAATATCGGTGCCAACAACAAAATTTTGGGGGAAAATCTCTAGGAACTGCAGTGTGGATCAAATAAACTGTCTAGAAGAAGTCCACATACCCCAAGTTAATACCATTAATACCCCAACTCAAAGATAAAAGAAAGGCTTCATGGAAATGTTCGATTGGTAGGTAGTGTGTTAAAAAATTATTTTAAGGACCAATATGTTCATTTTTGACAATTTATATATATTGATTTGAAACTAAAGTTGGCAATGGAAAACGCCAGAAGCTTTCTATTGGCATTCTCTACATAGAGTATCATCACAATTTAGGTGGCCATTTGGTATTCGGTATTCCAGAACTGATTACTTTAGAGTAATAGCTAGCATATTTTTAACAGCTTTGTGTGCATTACCTTTGAAAAGCATAAGCAATGAACTACATGCACATTTTATCCTTCTGAATAGCATAGCATTAGCATCTATAAAGCGTAAAACACCAACACAGAGAAAATAGAAAAACGATTCTGCAAGAGAATGACAAACCTTTGATTTTATTAACCAACCATTTGGCTCCTCCTTCAATACTGGTGGATAATGACTGATCAAAAGAGAGGGAAGATGATGTTAGCCGGAAGAATGCTAATAGGAAAAGATAGACACGCACAACTCGATTGCTCTGAGGGTATTCATCAACATACCAGCTTTGCAGAATTTGGAGAAAACATGAAACGAGTTTATAACATACTTCTTCATAACGACCCAAGAGTTTCTTAGATGAACAATATTGTTTTAAACAATACAAAAACAGCATTATTCCAATTTTCTCAGAAATATCTTAAATGCTATATAAAGATTTGAAAATTAGCACACAATTGGTTGGAAAACAGACCGGGGAAAAAGATTTCCGATCATCCGTAGGTTGAAATTTCCAGTAACAATGAGGGAGATAAACAGTCTTTGCTAATTACCTTGAACAAACAAAGCAATACGAACATTAATCTTAATTTTGAGATCCAATTACCAGTCACAGTTACATGAAAGAACAAAAGAAATCCGCATAGATCAAAATTGAATCAATTCCTAAAGAAACCCTAGGCGAACTAATGATTTCACAAAAATTCCAAAGCAGATGAGGGTAAAAACCGAAAATTGAACTGAGAAAACTGAACAAGAAGTGAAGAGAAAGAAAGGAAAAGCGTACGTTGAGGTCGTCGCCGACGGAATCGATCTCCTTGTTGGCCCTCTTGCCCAGCCAATAGGAGCCCACCTTGTTCAATATCTGATCCATTTCTGAAAATTTCTGCTCTGGTTCTCTCAGTCTCTCTCTCCGCGTCGAAAGAGATGGAAGAGAAAGATCAGCATCTAACGGATGGAATTTAGAGAGAGAGATTTATCTTTCGTAATTATCCCTAATCTTATGGTTGTTAGATGGAAGATTCTTAATCTTAGACGCCAAGTAAAATTTTCCTCCACCTTCATCAACTCCGCTGCCTAAAGTCAAACTCGCAAGTCAATTTAAACCTTCATTTATATCCTCATGTATCTTTCTTCTCACATTGTTATAATTTAATATTAAATAAAATTATATTTAAAATTATATTAAAGAATCCTCTCTTTCTTCATTATTAGTAAAATATATTCAATACAATTAAACAAAACCAACACGTAGCGTTTTTAATTTAATCGTTTTGAATCAATACAATTAAAAAATTTATGTTTTAAATTTGATGGACGAACCCAAAATGAATCAATCTAAAAGCTATTTAGGGTCATACGTAGGTTATCCTTGCAGTATCGGTACGATCCGACAGTGTAGAAATTTGAAGTCAAAATGAATAAATTGATGTGTTAACGATCTACGAGTTAAACGATCATCATAAAATAATTAAAGGAAAACATAGAAAATATGGGGTACTAACTTTGTGAAATATTATGGGCAGAAAACAAAAATTTTAAAAATATGAAAATTTATTTTGAGATCTAAAATATTTATTGCATTATACGTGAAATCCGACATGTCCTCGTGATGAATTTTATAAAATAAGTTAAAAAAGTATATCTCGTAATGTATATTTGACGAAGATCGTTGGAAACTCATTATAAGGATATTATGAATTTTAATTATTTATTATATTTTATGAAATTCGTCACATTATAAATTTAAAAAATGATGTATCAAATAATTTAGATCCCAAATTAATTTTTCAATACTTATATTTCTCATTTTTTTAATTGAATTATTTATCCAACTAAACCGTAGTTTGGTAGTCTCGGAGCATTCAAACATACTGAACAGTTGGTAAATTTAGAAGAAACAACTAGGGATGGCAATGGGTCGGGTCGGGGTCGGGTCGGGTTTTTGGGCCACCCGACCCGACCCGAGAAGAAAGGGTTCTCCACCCGTGACCCGACCCGACAAAATTAATGTTTCACCCGACCCGACCCGACCCGAATATATGACTTAGAAACCCGACCCGACCCGAAATAATAAAAAAAAAATTAATTCAATGAAAACAGTGACTTAATTGAAAAAAATTATATATGGAGGGATATTATTGTAATTATCCCTAAATATATAAGATAAAATTATATATATTTTTCGGGTCGGTCGGGTCGGATTTTTTTACCCTAAACCCGACCCGACCCGACCCGAACAGTGCATTTAAAAAAAACCCGACCCGACCCGAACCCGAATTTTTTTAAAAAAATCCGACCCGATCAAGTCGGATCGGATCGAAACCCGTCGGATTCGGGTTGAGTTGCCATCCTTAGAAACAACTAGGCATCCCCCACATTAAGTTTTAAATATCAAGTCAACCCTAACCTCGAATTTACCATAGAATAGAAAAAAATAAAATTGAGGGTAAACTACATATTTAGTATCTAAATTATTACTTTAGTTCTATTTTGATATTTAAATTTTATTTGTTTAAAGTTATATATAACATTTAATTTATGTTTCATTTTGGTACTCCACCGTTAAAAATTTAGCAGTGATATTGATGTATCACCATAAGGTAATGACACTCCATCATTAAAAAAAACAATCAACACCATAGACGGAGTTAGAAAATTTACTTTTGGGTGTCAAATTTAAAGATTTTTTTTTGATGTGTCAAATTTAGAAATTGTATTAATATTTTTTTAAAAAGTCGATAAAAATGAATAATGACTATTAATTTATGTTTAAAGGTACCAAAATTATTATCTTTTTTTTGTCCTCTCGATTCCAAGGCTTCACCTTGACTAATTTAGACCGACCCGTGCATAATATTTTAAGAATATTTTGTTTTTATTCTATTTTGAAACATTTTTATATTAAATTTATAAAAGAATAACTTTAAAAAGTTTTTGGGGTATTATTTGACACCCCTCATAATAGCCTGGCTCCGCAAGTGATCAACAGTTATGTTAATTTTTTAACGATTGAGTATGAAATTGAAACCTCAATTAAACATCAAGTATAATTTTTATAAATAGTATAGTTTGAGTGTCAAAACAATAATAGTTTACGTACTAAAGTATAGTTTACCCTAATCTAGTAATCCACCATCTTCTCTCATAAAACACCTCTCCTCCCAGTTGGAAATCAAGTAACCCAACACCTTGGCCATTTCTCCATTCATATATACACTCTTTCTTTGTTCCTTGCTGTTTAGAGATATAAAAGAATACTCTTTAAACAAGGAAATAGCATAACAAAAATGCCTGCAAATCCTCCAAAATCATCCATCTTGCTCCACAGGATCAACAGTAACACCCCAACAGCAACACATAACTCCACCGGCCCACCAGCCAGTGATAATTCCTTCATACTTGCTCAAAAGCGCTATCCTCTAGCCTGCACTATCCCCGTCCCCGATACCTTGGCTCGCCACCACACCCACCCCGTTGCTCCCAACCAGTGCTGCTCAGCTGTCGTGCGGCAGATAAACGCCCCAATCTCCACTGTCTGGTCCGTTGTCCGGCGCTTCGACAATCCCCAGGCTTACAAGCAGTTCGTCAAGAGCTGTCACGTCATCGTCGGGGACGGTGGAGTCGGTACCCTTCGTGAAGTCAACGTCATCTCGGGACTCCCAGCGGCAAGGAGCACGGAGCGCCTCGAGATCCTCGACGACGAGCGTCACGTTCTCAGCTTCAGCGTCGTGGGTGGGGACCACAGGCTGGCTAACTACAGGTCTGTGACGACCCTCCACCCTTCGACTACGGGAAACGGAGCGGTGGTGGTGGAATCGTACGTGGTGGACGTGCCTCCGGGGAACAGTAAAGACGACACCTGTGTGTTCGTGGACACCATTGTTCGGTGCAACCTGCAGTCATTAGCTCAGATCGCCGAGAATCTAGCCAGGCCCAAATAGCAAATCAACGGGAAAAAAGTCATCTTCGTGAGTAGACTCGGAACCCTCCATCGAAAATAGATTAATTTCTCTGTAATGCATGCTTTTCGTTCTGGAAAAGTCTTTGGTGATAAGCCGTCGATTTTGTGAGTATCCGATGTTTGGGTTGCCGATGCAACTTCTCATCGCTGCCAAAGTTCATGTTTATGGTTTTACCTGTGTATGTGGATCAACTTGTTTTGTCCTTTTACTCTCTTTTTTTTTTTGGTTTAATCTGTGAAATACACATTACACACCAAACGTAAAGTAAATAAGACATAACAACACCATTGTAAAGTAAAATAAGACAGTCAGACCATGCTAAAGGAATAGAGAGAGAAGTGCAGAATTAAAAGGGTGGCGAATAAGTTAGAAATTGCATGCATTAAAATAACTAAAAACGTGAAAGGAATCCATCCAACAGCTGCATGCAAGTTGCGAAATGTTTATTTGATAAAAAGAAGTGCAAGTTGGGGTGCAAGTTGAGTTGAGGGAATACTTTTTCTCATTATCTTCGTGTCCTTTTGAATTCCTTCACGCCACCCATCTCTGCATCACCCATCACATTACATGAAATCAGACTTTCCATTTCTCTGCATTTTTTCATTCATTATCTCCCCCACTGTCATCACTGTTTTTATTTGTAGTAGCTTCCACAATTTCCTTTCCTATTATTCTTTTTGATATTTTTAATATATTATGTGATAAAGTACTTAGATTATAAAGATTATCGATTATAATGAGTTGTTTTGTTGAATCTATTAACTATTAAAAGTTACAAAATGATAGATTATTTATTATATTCCAAACTCATCATTTTTATTAAAAATTAACGGTTATCTGACGCGGACGTTAACATGATGACTGAGATATAATAGTCGTTTAAGATTATACGATTATGTTTTATCATATATCAGTTAACAGGTTAATGTTCAATTCAGACTGTCATTAATTTTTTGACAAAAGAGAATGAGTTTGAAATATAATGAATAGTAGAGTGAATATTTTATAACTTTTAATAATTGATGAACTCAACAAATCAATCCTCTCTACTCTAGAGATAATTTTATAACTTTTAATAGTTGAAGATTCAATAAACGATATCTTGTAATTAGGGACTATTTATATAATTTATCTTAATATTATTTGTAGTAGCTTCCGTAATTACCATTCCTATTCTTCTTTTGATATTTTTAATATATTATGTTAACGTAGTTATATATAAACGGCTTAATTTCAGCGACCGTCTTTACATAAAATTAATTTAAATGTCTAGTGATTAACAAGATACATTGTATACTTAATAATAGAATATATATTTAAACTTTAACCACATCATTATACCTAATTTCAAATAGACAATTGCTAAGAGACTTTATATATATATATATTTCTCTCAGCTTATAGCCGGTTACTCCAATTCCCCCCCCCCCTCTTTTGGCATGTGTCGGAATTACTTTCAGTGTCGATCGTTAATCGTTGATGCTCTTTATTTCAGTTTATAATGATTCATTATATGTTTATGACACATTTTTTTTATTATAAATGATATGTTTTTTTTTAATTTTGATATGTTTTTGTTATTTTTAATTCATCGTTTGGTCGTTCTTTTTGTTTAATTTTCTTAGAGTTAGATTTATTGTCGTCTTGACTAATCAAGATGATGTCCTATTGATTTTTTCTGATTTTAAGCCTCATATTAGATTTAAATACATAGATTATGTTCAAAGATAGTTTTATCATGACGCTCGACTCTGATTTACGATTATAAGTGGTCTTTCAGTAGTTTGATGACATGTTGTGATTTTTTTCTGATTTTGAGCCTCATATTAAATTTGGATACATAGATTACTTTCAAAGATAGTTTCCTCACGACGCTCAACTCTGATTTACGATTGTCATTGGTCTTTCAGTAGTTTGATCACATGTTGTGATTTGTTTGATGATGCAATCAGATTTGTTTGTATCTATCTTTTGTTCTAGCTTTTTGGATGATTTTTTTAACTTTTTCCTTATATGGTCATTCTATGATCTCAATGGGCTAATTTCTTGTGTCAGTGGTTATAATAAAATGTTTTAATGTTCAGCTTACATTTATAGTTGTAAACATTCATGATACTTTTGAATATTTCTTCTTTGATAAAATTAATGACTTCTATTTACATAAAAATTAAACTTTAACGATGATATTATTCAAAGAATAACCACAAATTACAAATATAAATTATTAAAACAATTTTAGAAGATAAAATAATATGGTTAAAATTTAACTTTTCACGTGAACAAGTTTAATCTGTAAAATGTATGTATTAGAATCTACTTATCTCTAATATATATATATATATCTTAAATACATTTCACATTAAAATTAAATCGATATTTACTGTCCCAATTGAAGTTTGGTTGAAAAAGTAATTTAATTTGACATTTTACATATTTTGAATTCAATTTAGTTAAATTATTCCACTTACAAATGCATCGCAAGTAATTATATTTAGGCTTAAAAAATATATAAATAATCCTACATGTTTATGAATTATTGCTTTACTAGCTTTACTCTTTCCAAAATCTTAATCTGTAAGATTCAAAATTTGTACGGATGATACTTTCTTTTATGATTTTCATATCAGTACTCTTTAGGATATAAAAAAATTGATTCGATTTGTTAAACTGACTAAAATTGACTTGAATTAGAATTGTTTGTGATCTGAGGTGATGATGTTTCGAAATCGATTCGAGTCTAAATTGATATTGATGTGAACTCGAGTTGGACCTAATAATTTTGTATATGAACCCGACCTACACTCAACTTTAGAATAACCTAAACCCGATTGAACCTGATAATGTCATAATTGAACCCGACTAAAACGATTATACTATCATGCTAAGTCATTTTAAACTTATTTTTCAGTTCTCAAAAATTTGGTTTTGCTGCCAAAAGTTGTTGTAGCATTGTGTGATCTTAATTCATAAATGTGATGTCATCTTGCTAAAACTAAAAACCAACAAGTGTGATGCTGTGTGGACGTCCGGTGTATTCAGTCAATACTTAGTGAAATTAGAAAGAAAAAAATGGTCTTACTCATATTATTATTAAAAACTGTATTGTAGCTACGTCTCTAATAATTTTTCTTTTCTTTCAACCAGAGCTAGATGGACACCTCTAATAATTTTTTTTTTTAATAAAGAACTTCGAATGTCGTTACAATATTTTTCTACTGCTGTGAGAATTTAAAACTCAACAAATTTCTAACGTCTCTAACTATTGAAAGCATACAATCAATTGTCAAGAATAAAACCTATAAAATCTAACCCAACAAGAGTCTGAAACTTTTCTTTTCTATCTTCATAGCTCAAATTTTTATTCTCTTCGAACATCATAAAAAAAGGCTTAAAAATTCCTTAATAAAAATATTTTATCTGTGACAACAAAGACGACGTTTTTCCCGAAAAATCATCTTTTTAATTTAATATTTCCGATCAAGCATCGGTCAGACTATATTTCTCGATCTAACACCCTTTGCAGTAAGGCGCGCCCCTGTAACGCGTTATACGCTAATTTGGCGCCACGTGGGGTAAGGCGCGTCCCCTGAAGCTCGCCTTATGCTGACATGGATATATGTGTGTATGGCGCGGGGTAGGGGCCGCGCCTTACGCCGCGTAAGATATAGCGCGAGGCAGGGGCTGCGCTATTCAATTATCTCAATGATCAAACATGCATAATGCAAGGCGCGGTGCAAGGACCGCGCCTTGCATTATGCATGTTTGATAATTGAGATAATTATTTTCTCAAACTTCTCGGCTTTAAGGCATCCTCTCTCGGCTATAAATAGTCGTCTCCCGTAAACTCTCTCACCAACAATCCTTTGAATAAGTAAATAACATCCGACAATCATCTTATATTTGATTCAGAAGTTTGCTCGATCTTTCGTTATAAGGTAATTTTGTTATAATATTTATTTTATAGTTATATATGATTATTTGAAAAAAATATTATACTAATTGTTTTCAATTAATTTCTGTGTTTGTAGAATTAGAAAGTGGGAGCATACGTCGAAATATTTTTACGGTGCAAGTAATAATATAAAATTATTTACGTTTATGTGTAAAAAATTTATTCTGTTATATTTTTGGTCATATATTATTTATTTAATTATGTTTGTTTCAGTTGTTTTTTTTTTGCAGATATAATATTGTTGCACTTTTAAACTCTAAGAATGACGCGACTTTCAGCTATTATTTATTATGATGGAGAAATTCGAGAAGATGAAACCGACGTTGTATTCATATCAAATGAGCTTGTTAAAATATCATTCAAGAGAAACATAACTCTTGAGGAGCTGATAACGAAGATTTCGAGGAAGGTTCATGTTGGAAGTAGTAGAAGAATGTCGTCGTTGCAGTACAGATTTCCAACATCATTGTTGCCATTAATTTATACAGCGTTCGAACTATCGAACAATGATGATGTTGAAATGATGGTTGATTCTCAAAGTAATTATTCATACGGCGATATTGAGATGTATGCAAAGTTTGTTCAAGTATGTGCTGTTCGGGGTCAGCCATTAAGCTCACACTATGGGCTGGCTGAACAAGTTGATCAAGTTGACAGCCCGACTACAGTAATGTGTAATGATTTTAATGCCATAATGGGAAATCCACATCATGGTGCCGACTCATCAACTTCAATGGGGAGACATTCATCCGCAACTCCTTACGATATGTATCAAGGTGGGTCCACGAACAATCCGTATGGCAACATCGCGTCCAGTTCGAGAGGAAGGCATTCATCTACAAATTTCTTTGACCTTAATATGGAGATGCCATCGACGCAACAATCTGTGCAGTTTCCATTTGACACGAAGGCTTCAAGCTCCAGGGGGAGGCATTCGACTGCGAGCTTTTTCGATCTCAATCCAGATATGCTTTCTAGTTCAAGGGGAAGGTGTGCCAGTAGTAGGTTCTTTGACCTAAATATGGAGAGCATGGAGGAACCATCATCTCCACCAGAAAAACCGCTTCGTGAGCCTAGTGGGGATGGTGCTAAGACTGGACTATTCATTC